GTAGATGTTTTAGATTCGACTTGTGTTAAGAAAGGCAGAGGTAGACCTCGGAAGACTTAGGCTTATTGTATAAAAAATGATCTTAATTTACTTAAACTAAATGAAAATATGACACTAAATAGGACGTAATGGAGAAAAAGGATTCATGTAGCCGACCCCACGTAGTGGGATTAAGGCTTTGTTGTTATTGTTGTTGTTGACATGTTTATGACATTGGTAGTATTTCTAATTTTCATTTTTTTTCCATTCATCTGTTTCTTCTTTAATTCTTTTTGTTAAAAATTTAGGCGGCGCTACACTTAGTCTTATTTCACGACGTGGAAAGGAAAATGTATGCATATTACTGAGTTCACAACATTTTATCATTTGCAAACACTCTCTTGCTTGTGCGTATACATGTATGGTTATGTGAAGGAGTAAGGTTGGATCTGAGAAAGTTGTTTTGAAAATGAACAACAGTACAGATTGCAAGGAGAGATTAGAATTGTGGTTGGTTTTGAGAAGTTTCACTGACTCAGTAGAGAAAGGACATAACTTAGTTATACTATGGTTGAAACTTGAATATGAACATTCAGCAGTTATAAAGAGAAATGAGTACCTTGGAGTTAATAACGATTTGAAAGAAGTCTGATGATCAACTTTTGATTTGAGGCAATAATTGGTCCCATAATCTTAACTAGAAGACATAATAGGTCCCAGTTACTCGATCATTATTAATGTCTCAAACATGTGTGCACATTCATTTTTTTCTGTTCTTAATGTTTTTTTGTCTTAATTGCGTTTTCAGGACTGGGGCAATGTTTTATCTTTCTTTAAACAAGCCATCATACCATACTGGGAACAGTTTGCATCAAATCTATTTCAAGGTCAGAATTATATCCTTTCACAACTTATCTGGCTGAAGTTATATTTTTCATTTAACCATATTTGGAACTTGTTATCCATTTTTTTTGTAGGGAGAACTGCTTCTTGTGAAGTTTTTTTTCAAGAAAATGGATCACAGAGAGAAGGTAGGGAACTTCTCATTTGATAAGAGAAGATCTTGGTGCTTCATTTACAATGATAGGTTCCAATTTTGTTTTTAAATATCATGTCTATTCCATAGCACAAGTAACTAATTTCCTTCTTGAATTGTTTCATAATGCAATTTTCATTTTGCTGACAAAAGTGAAAATCCTCTTGCTTGCTTACATAATTGAAATATTTGTTATGCTTTTCAAGGGATTAGTTTTTGCAGATATGCTCCTTGAAGGTATCACAAAGAACTTTGAACTTCTCATTTGATAAGAGAAGATCTTGGTGCTTCATTTACAACCATAGGTTCCAATTTTGTGTTAGATATATTGTGTATTCGAGAGCACAAGTAACTAATTTCCTTCTTGAATTGTTTCATAATGCAATTTTCAGTTTGCTAACAAAAGTGAAAAACCACCTGCTTGCTTACATAATTTAAATATTTGTTATGCTTTTCAAGAGATTAGTTTTTGCAGATATTGGATTAGTTTTTGCAGATATGCTCCTTGAAGGTATCACAAAGAACTTTGAACTTCTCATTTGATAAGAGAAGGTCTTGGTGCTTCATTTACAACCATAGGTTCCAATTTTGTTTTTAGATATCATGACTATTCCATAGCACAACTAATTTCCTTCTTGAATTGTTTCATAATGTAATTTTCATTTTGCTGACAAAAGTGAAAAACCACCAGCTTGCTTACATAATTGAAATATTTGTTATGCTTTTCAAAGATTAGTTTTTGCAGATATGCTCCTTTAAGGTATCACAAAGAACTTTGAACTTCTCATTTGATAAGAGAAGATCTTGGTGCTTCATTTACAACCATAGGTTCCAATTTTGTGTTAGATATATTGTGTATTCGAGAGCACAAGTAACTAATTTCCTTCTTGAATTGTTTCATAATGCAATTTTCAGTTTGCTAACAAAAGTGAAAAACCACCTGCTTGCTTACATAATTGAAATATTTGTTATGCTTTTCAAGAGATTAGTTTTTGCAGATATTTTCCTTGAAGGTAGCACAAAGAACTTTGAGCTCAGATTTGCTAAAAAAAGTTTTAATTTTTTTGTCAAGGTTCAGTTTTCCATAAACAAGTTAGCAACTCATTGGATACATTTTCTGGTGATGCAAGCAATTATCAGAGGCTCAATCGATTATGTGATGATAAAGCAGATTGTGTTTCATTTTCTAAGACACGTCACAGTGAGGATGATCTTGTTGAGGTGTCTAACAACTTTTGCCTAGATGAAGGTCACACTTTCCAGGGTAAAACTTATATGCAAAAGGCGGACGACCTTTATGAATCTCTCCTAGCTTGCGATAGTGATGGTAAAGTTTTGACTCTCATGGAAAATGAGAGATTTAACTCAGCATGCTGCTCAGCAAGCTTTGGGTTTGATGAACATCATGATTTTTTGAAGGAACCAATTTCTAAGAAAGAAGAATGCACTACAGATGAAAATTTGTATAACAATTTCTTACATAGCAGCGACAATCTTATTTTCAAAAGGAATATCAGGAAATCTTTTCTTCAAGAAAGAAGCAACTCACAACCTCCTGTGATTAGTGTTATTAGAAAATGCCAGAAGTGGCCACAACAGGTTACATCTAGCTTTGAAATTAGTCCTTTTTTCTGCGACCGTGCATGCTCTGAGGAGACCAGCCTTAGCCATCGAAAAGTTGCAGAATATGTAGACGACGCGGACTCCAAATTGGGGTTATCACATTTTGGTTTTATAGATTCGTGGATTGCTAGGACACCACTAAGGCATAATGATGTTACGTCTGATTCTGCTTTGATAGAGAATCACTTAAACATGCAAGCTGCTAATTATAAGCATTTTGTCATTGAAGAGATGAACGCTGAATTTCCTGATACTGCTTTGAGTGAATCCCGTGATGTTCTGCCTGACTTAAACTTTACGGGCAGGAAGGCAGCTGTCCTTAGTAAAGAAACCGGCTGTTTGCTGTTTGAATCTTCAAGCGTTAGAGATGCAGACATTTATAGCACTAGCCTTCATAATTTTGCCATGCAAAATTCTCATGATGAAACTGTTGAAAGCCCCACCCAGAAGAAGGAATTTCAAAATTCTTTATTTTCTCAGGTTCATGAGTTAAGATTAAGTAGAAGTTATTCTGCTCCACCGTTTTACAAAGGCAAGAAGAAGTTTCCCATCTTAAATTGTCTTCCAAAAGATAATGCCAGAGAAAATTCTAAAATGGAGTTATCTGGTTGTATTGATGCGCCAGGTTTATTTTAATTGATTTATTATTCTCTTCTTCCATATATAGTAATTTTTTTGATCACTGTAGATTATTCCCCAGGATTCAATTGTCAGCTAGAACGTTATAGTGCCTCACAGCCTTGTATGAAGCCAATTACTGAGCATAGACAAGCGTGCTTACGGTAGTTTACAAGTCATTTATGGTTTTTTTTAATTTTATTTGTGATCTAACCATCATTGTTTCTATTACTAGGGAAATCAATTATGAGAAGTCAAGCCGGAGCAACATGATTAAGATGCAGACTTGTGAAGAATTTGATAATGGTAAATGCATTAATGTATCTTGAATCTCTACATTATGAGGTGCATTGTAAGTTAATGAAAAATCTCATTTATTAACTACTTATTGCCATTCCTGTTAATATGTTATAGGTTCTGTCGCTGATGAAATATATTCTGCATCAGTTTCCCTGACAAAATGGCGTACTTGCAGTCTGCAGCCTGCATTTAATCATGTCTACAATTTAGTCTATTTCCATGTAAAATAATTAATTTCAAATTGATTTTTTATTAATGATGTTTTCTTATTTTTCAGGATTGTGTTATGCCACATAAGATTGACGTGCTAGACGTATCTTCCGGGCTTTTACATCTTGCTGGTAGTTCGTTGGTGCCTGCTTCCATAAATAAGGGTTGCTTTGATAACGTAAAAGTTTTACTACAACTGGATCGCAAATTCATTCCAGTAGTCGCAAGTGGAATTCTTCTAATTATTGATCAGGTTCATATTTTTTCATAATTTCAATTATATAATTAGTTTCTTAAATGACAACATAAAATTAGCAATGCTTTCATTGGCGTCTGCTTCCATATGGATTTTCTTAACAATGCAATACAGCTGAATCTTAAATGTGAGAAGAAGATCGATTCAAATTGGAATTTACAGTTCTTTTTGGACAATTTGAATTAAATGCTATACCTTTTGACTTTAGGAATGCTTTTAGCAAATTCCAAAGTATAATTAAAATATCTTTTAACATGTTCACATTATGCATACGTTTTAGTTTATGTAAATTCCTTAGATGAATATTTTAAACACCTTGAAGTGTTTAGATAGAAGTATAAAAAATGGCTATTAATTTCAATTAAAAAATAAAGCACTTTCAAATCAGTGTTCTTTTTTTAGGTCATAATATTACTATTATGGAAAGTATTAAATCTAAAGCTTGTATATTATGAGGCTTGATATTAGGTAACTTAATTTGAGGAGATCTAATTACATGATCTTTTTTTGTATTAGAGAAGTTATTCCTAAACTATAGAGATGAGAATGTATATAAATATGTAGTTTCATGACCCGACCTTGGGCTTGGAGTTAACTAAGACGGGAACAAACAATCAGACGGTGGGAACTAAATCTTCTTTATTCATCTGCAATTTAACAAATGAAAAAACCACTAATCAAATTATATTAATGCAATATGTTTAAAATTTTCTTTTTACTGGTTGCTCGCATTTTTGTAAACATTATCTCTTCCATTGCTCATCGTTAATCACTTTATTAACATAAAAGCTAGTTTAAAATAACAAGAAGCTAAACAGATCAGTGAATACTCATACTCATAAATCACAATAATACAAGAGAAATGAAAGCAATATACTTGCCAGTCAAGCTTTTAATGAATTAATAAAATTTTCTAATGCTATTCAAAGAACTTTACTATATCCCTAGCATATCAATATCATTTTATATCTGTACAACCGACACAGGATTATCATATAAAAATTGTGTCAAATAAGACACACCAACTTTAATATTAATATCCATGTGTACCTTAGTATTCCTTCACTAGTATCATCAATGAGTAATTTCATCATAGTCAGTCATGCACATACAAGAAATCAACATAAACATATTATTCATTGTATTCATCACATTTAATTCAACATAGTATATAAAACATACACCAAATGCATTAAAGTATGTAGCTGCAACTTTTATAACAATATGATTGATAAAGAAAAAAATATCTCAACCAAAATAAAATATGTGCAAGTGTTATTAAATACGAAATTGTTTAGAAGAAACAAATTATTCTTATATATTAAATATATGAGTTCTCATTTTGATGTTGATTAATTTGCTATTTGTTTTGACGTCGACTCTTCTAAAATTGAAAACCTATCATAAACATAGTATATAAATTATTATTTTAATTATTTATTAAATTATTATTATTATGTATAAAATTTTCATATTTTACTTTATGTAATCTCATATAATTAATTTTTTATTTAAGATATATATATAGGAATTAACTTCTCATCATCAGGTTCTTTACTTTATTGAGATCATTCTTGGAGACCCTATGAAGCTAGATCTACCCACTTTCAACATAACCAGACCTTCTGTGACCAGAATTCTTGTGAAAAGAGATATTACTTTACCTGATGTTACTGAAGTTTGGTTGGACATATCTCATAATGAATATTGGCAGCAAATCGTCATGGAGCATAGACCTCCTTATTGTTCTCATTGTAAGATGTTTGGGTATATCCTTTATAAATGCCATAAGCATTATCCTAATTTAAAATCTAAAGAACAAGTGAATAAAGATGAATTTAACCCCACTGCTCTGGACATATTTGTTCCACCTGGAGAGAAAACTACCACAGGACAGGATTTGATGTCTGAATTAATTGCCCTTGTGGACCCTCCCCCTGAAAATACTGTTTCTGCGATTGATGAGAAGCTGGATGACCCTGCGGAGCAAAACCCTATTGAAAACAATATTGAAGGACCTCACCTACACGGACTGATAATCACGAAGAGAACCTTGTAACTCCTCTTCTTCAGGAAGTATCTGGAGTAGAGGCGGGTACAACTGTCGACAATCTTTCTACTGCAACATTACCACCTCATCCGAATAAGTAACAATCCTCGGATGAGGAATGATAGGTCTATACTTCCAGGAGGAAGAAAAAGAATGAAGATATACTTGAACTAAGGATTCTAATGGATGATACTTTGGTTACTTCTAGCAATGATACGCATCTAACCAATTTGTTAGTTGGTTCCCTTCCGAGAGCTAGAGGCTGAGGCAGAACTAAATTGAGTCATCCCGATTGATCTTATATGTACCATTTATTTTTGAGTTTTTACTTTTCTTTTTGTGTGTGTGTTGTACCTTGTGGTTTGGGTGCCTATTGTTGGCCTCACTCATACAACATATCTGTACCCTTTTCTCTTTAATATATTTGCCCTCGGGCTTTTATAGATATATATATATATATATTCAATAAGCATTGCCTTTGTTAACCCTACACCTCGCGACTTCTTCTTTTTCCCAACCACGTAAAATGGATCGCAGAAGTGCTTAGCCCATCGCCTCTTGCACGATGCTTCTTCAATGGTTGGAACAAGAGATTCTCCTTTTCTTCAACTGGTCGCACGACACTGACACTGACATCGACATAGGCACCGCCTCTTCATTGTGTGAAATGGTCTGGCTTGCTCTTTATCGCTTCTCCTTCATTTCAAATCCCTCAAAGCTCGACATTGATACTTCTTCAAACCTCCTCGTCGTCGGCTTTGAGGTCTTCCGCACTATTCGACTTCCAAGTCAGTCTTTCTCACCTCTGCCTCCCTCAAGCGCGTCCTTTTATAGGGCGAAATTAACCTTAGATTTCCTCGACTCCTCGCCTCATCTTCTCTCTTGTTTGACTCTTTTTTTCCTCTTCTTCTCTTTGGGATCCTGACCTTCTCGTATCTTCTCCACCTCTTGATTGACTGCTCGTTTCCACTTCCTTCGGTTTTCCTCATTTCTTCTCCGATTACAAAACAATTGGACGTTACTTGTAACATATAATTTCACTTGAGGAATAAGAAGAAAGGAGGATTTCCCGTCTGGATTTCCCATCACACGGTATCAGAGACTATTGTTCCTTTCAGCATCTTCCCGAGGAATTATTCATCTTCAACTTGTCTTTGATGTTAGCCTCTTTGAATCGTTTGCCTTCGGTCCGGGCTCATTCCCTCCGACTTCGTCTGCTTCGAACGACGTCGTTTGCAAGGCCACGAATGGCTTAGTTTGCGCTCAAAGGCATCATTCCGAGATGACATCATCTGTGTCGTATTCTTCATGCTACTACATCATCATACGTGTCATTCAACTTCATCTGCATGGACTTCGCCTTCGGCTTCATCTTCTTCAGCTTCGACTTTCTTTGGCGTTGGCTTAGTCTGGAGGCAATTCGTCTCCTTTGTCTTTTTGTTCGACTGCACCTGCATCGTTTTTGATTGCACCATTGCTTGCCAACTTCGTCTATCTAGGTCGACTTCCTTTGTTGTTTCGGTCAGCTGCTTAACCTTCTTTCTGTTCGACTTCAATGGTTGCTTCCTTCAGCTTGGCTGCGTCGCTCTCCTTTATCTGTATTATCTGGAGTTAGTCTCACTGTTTGGCTTATCCATACTCAATATCATATTTGGTGATAATTATGATTATGAAACATAAATAGGATATAACAAATTTGGTCTCATCGATGGCTAAAATTACTGATGAAAAATTAAATAATGATGCAGAGCATTTGAATTGCAGAAAAGCAGCAATCCCAATCCCGATAAATTCACTATATTGTGAATTTGGGAAAATCTAGTGACCCGCACCAGTGACCCGCTAAAGTGTTAATCCACAAAACCCATCCGAATTTTTGGCCTGAATTGTCTTCCTTTTTGATTTATTTCCTAATTCGCTTTTTAACTTTTTTGTTTTGTTATTCATAAGTAGGGTTTTTCTTGAGAAACTATTTATTTATTGTTGTTTTTTTTGGTTGGAGGAAGACTTTGACTATTGTTATGTTATTTAGAAATATTTTCTCCTGATTATTTCGATTGAAGTGATGTATAATATATTTCTTTCGGTAGTGTTTATTACCTGATATGATCAACGTGGTGTTCTCTATCGAACGTTTGAAACTACCTTCATCATACAACTTGCAGTCAACTGTTGTTTACAGTAGGAAGACTGCTTTTATCAGTTTTGGTTCGCCGTCTCGTCGTTATATAGACCATAATTTTCAGCCGATAGCCTCCCTGATATCCATGCCATACTGTTTCACGATTTTCCTTGTTTTCAGTCGGGATAGCCACCGATTATCATTTGTCCCCTTCCAAATGTAACCAACCTCCCAAAATTTTATTCCCTTACTATTCCTCTACCTCTTTCCTATTAGACCTGTTTCTCGAAAACCTTTTAGGAGGCATAGATTGGTTTCATTAAATGATATCAATTATTTTTGTTGGAATAAAACTGTGAGACTCTACTTGAAAAGTATTTCTCAAGAGTCATCTAATTGATATTCCTCGACCTACATTGATTCGAGTTCTTATGAGTAGATGAGAGTTGATATTCAGTTTTAGATTTAAATACCGAACTCTATCGTGCTCGATCAATCTGATCATTTTAATCATTGCGATTGTATTTAAAGATGCGATGGAGGGATTGGTGTTTGCATTTTTTGAGAGAATATTTATCGAATTTATGATGTATGCAAGGAGTTCTATCAAGCTATGCAATACAATCAATCACCTAACACATATCACATGCACTTTAAATATGTTTATGAAGAATTGAATGCACTATTGCCCTTTAATATTATTGTCTGGACACAACAAGCTCAAAGTGAACAATTGACTATTATGAGTTTTCTCGTTTGTCTCAACTTGCAGCCTAAAGGTGGAAATCACATATCCTATCTAATCCAGAAGTTCTTACTCTGAGG